TGGGGAAATGGTGCCCTGGCCAAGATGAGCTGCTGTGCGTCTCAAGGCTGAGCTGACACAGTAACCACAGTTGCAAGGAAATGGAGCAGTGGCTGAGCTGGGACACCCTTCTCTCCAGGCCAAACACTTCTAGCACTCTGGATCTTATATCTGGATTACCCTCAGACCTGAGCTGCTGAGATAATCCTCTCCCTGGGGAGTGGAGTCATTGCTGTGTCATTCCTTGTCTGCCCCCTCCAGGGCCCAAAAGGCAGCCGTGCTCCACTCTTCTGGGACACTTCCTGCCATTGCACCTGGCCTTACAGTCTGGGACATACAACCATTCTGGGGTCTAGTGTCACTGCTACACAGGGCCTCCATCCCTGGAACCCAAGATGACCTTGAGCTCTCCTGGCTCAGGGTCTTGAATTGCAGCCAAACTCTGCCCCCCAGAACCAACCCTCCAGAGCACCCCTCTTCCCTGGAGTCAGGCTATGACTAGCCCTCCAGAAGTAGAATCACAGCTACCACCTGGCCTCCTGAGCCCAAACTGCTAGGAGGTGCCTCAGAATCACAGACCCTGGCTCTGTGAGAAACCTATATCTAATCCTGTGACAGAAACCGAACCAACACCCCAAAACCCAGGTGCAGCAATAGGGTTGCAAGATACCGAGGCTGGGTCCCCAACCCACAACCTCTCCGAGCACCTGCACTTGGTACCCAACATCACTGCGGCTGCTTGTAGGTCATGTCAGACCTGACATTGAGAGGGAACCCTTCCCCTTACTCTCTTCCCTTTCTCTAATATATAATAAACTTATACTTTTATATTCTAAAAAAAAAAATGTACCTCAACAAGATAAATGCCATATCTGACAAAATCACAGCCAACGTCATATCCGAAAGAAAGTCAAAAGCTTTCCTTCTAAGATCTGGAACAAGATAAGGATGCCTAATACAATTTCACCACTTTTAATCAGCATAGTACTGGAAGTCCTAGCCAGAGCAATTAGGCAAGAGAAAGAAATAAAAAAGGCACACAAATTGGGAAAAAGGAAGTCAAATTGTCCCTGTTTATCAATTCCATTTATGATAGCTAAAAAATATAAGATATCTAGGAGTAAGTTTTTAAAACCATGTGAAAGATCTCTACTAGGAAAACTATAAAATACTGATAAAAGGCATTGAAGAGGACACAGATACATGGAGAGAACTCTGTGTTTATGGATTTGAAACATTGTGAAAAATATCCATGCTATAGATTCAATGCAATCCCTATCAAATATCAATGACATTATTCACAAAAATAGAAG